CCCGTCTCTACCAAAAATAGAAATAAATTAATTGACCAACTAAAAATATATATACAAAAAATTAGCTGGGCATGGTGGCGCATGCCTGTAGTCCCAGCTACTCGGGAGGCTGAGGCAGTAGGATCGCTGAGCCCCGGAGATTGAGGTTGCTGTGAGCCAGGCTAACGCCATGGCACTCACTCTAACCTGGGCAACAAAGTGAGACTCTGTCTCAAAAAAAAAAAAAAATCCAGTTAAAAGTGTAATTCAATGAATACAAATCACAGAACTACAATGACCACAGGCACCCATTTCCAACTTGGTACACTTGTTGTTTTTTTTTTTTGTTTGTTTGTTTTTTTTTTTTTTTGAGACAGAGTCTCGCTTTCTTGCCTAGGCTAGAGTGAGTGCCGTGGCGTCAGCTTAGCTCACAGCAACCTCAAACTCCTGGGCTCGAGTGATCCTTCTGCCTCAGCCTCCCGGGTAGCTGGGACTACAGGCATGCACCACCATGCCCGGCTAATTTTTTATATATATATCAGTTGGCCAATTAATTTCTTTCTATTTATAGTAGAGACGGGGTCTCGCTCTTGCTCAGGCTGGTTTTGAACTCCTGACCTTGAGCAATCCGCCCGCCTCGGCCTCCCAAGAGCTAGGATTACAGGCGTGAGCCACAGCGCCCGGCCACACTTGTTGTTTTTATCATACTGCAGGTGAATGCTGTGAACATTGTTTAGGTAAGCCAACCCTGGCCAGCAATGCAAAAAGGAATCTTTCCACCTTTACCCCTGGCTCACCACTGCACACATCAAGTATGTACTTCTGCAGAGGGAAGCAGTGCAGTGAAGATGTGCAGAAAGCCTGGACTTTGTGGTCAGAGAGATCTAAGTTTAAAGTCTGTCTCATCCAATACTTATTAGATGCATTATACGGGCAAGTTCCTTGTCTCAGCTTTAACATGTTCGTAATAATACCTACCTATTAATAGGTTTTTCTGGAATAATGAATATACAGCATTTTACTTGGATCTTGACATACAGTAAGCGTTGATAAACATCAGTTCCCTCTGCCTTATGCATTTCTGGATGCCCTATTTCTTCCTATCCTGTTTGGTTTGCTATTTCCTCTGTATTGGCAGATTTTGAACCTAATTCTCACAATAGAAGATACTCAGTGTCTGAGTCATTTAATAGATAAATATTTACTAAGCACCTTCTATGTGCAATATGCTACATTAGGGCCAGCATTGGATATAAAATGAATTGGCTCCTACCTATAAAATCCTTATAATTTAGTTGGGAAGCCAAGATTGCAGGAAAATGTAGAAAGGGATGCATAATCTAAGAAAATCAGGTAAAGTGTTGTAACTCAGACAAATGGAAAACTATTTCCATCTGGGACAATCAAGGAAGACTTCTCGAAGGAGGTGCCCCCCCCCCCAGAAAAAGGTAGACTTTAAGGATAGATAAGGTTTAGATATATGAAGATGGATGAAGGACATTATCGACAAAGTTATTGTAGGAAAGAGAATGGATGCAGGAAAGCAAAGGGTTTATACAGAGAATTCCAAATAGCTTCACGTGTCTGAAATACAAGGTGAGTGAAATGGAGAAAAGACAAAGTTGAAAGGCAAGTTGGCAGCAGACTCTGCAGGACCGTGAAGGCCAGGCTAACAGATCAGGATATTATCTGCAGACAGCAGATTCAGCGAAGGTCTCTAAGCAGAGAAACAATATGACCAACACCATGGGAGCTCTCTTCATGTGTTGTTCTGAGTTTCCTGGGCCTTCTTTCCCTCCCTAACAGTTGTGTGGTCTCAATGTGTGGCCTACATGACAGAAGCTCTTTCCTACGTCCCTGAGCAGAATTTTTACTATTTCCAGTTCAAATTCCATCCCACCCATTCACAGCACTCCTCAATTTTCCTCTCCAGTCTGAATTAATTGAGGGGATTCATGTCGATGTCACAAATGATTGGCACAATCTGGATCCAGAGAAGGTGCAAGCCTTTCATGACTCAGGTTGTAATTTCTGCTACTTATCCATGTTCCTGTTGATAGCATTATAATCACTCATCCACTCCCCGGGGAGTGGCCATTCAGAATTTATCACACAGGTTTATAATTTTATAAAAACAGCAAGAATATTTTCGGGCATATTAACAGACAGTTCTCAAAAGGAGACATGAGGTCATAAGTGTGTTTCAAAAGTAGAGAGAGAAATGTCACCCCAAGGGAGGAAAAAAAAAGAAAAAACCAGCCACTTCTTAAACAGTTTCTTAAAACACTACAAACCAGAGCGAGTTCTCTGTAAACTTGCAGAGGCAACATATCGTGCATATCCCCAATATGCCATTTATTGGAGATGATTTGTTTAGTTATCGGTTCCCTCAGCTAACAATTCAGTTTGGTCTGAATGGCCTACATCACCATTTCACTTATTCATCCTATGCTGAAAAAAAAAAAAAAAAGCCTGCAAAATGCAGGAGGAGGGAAGGGATGAAAGAAATATGAGCAAGGAGAAAAGCAACTGAGGAGGATGCAGAAAAAAGCACAGATGAAAGAAGAAGCAGAAGAGGGAAGACTGAGCCCATGCTGTTGGACAGAATACATGCTCTGCCTGATTAACAATATGCATAGCACAGTGCCAAGCGCGACTGAATGAATTACCAGAGCCAATTAAATGTGCTGAGAGCCCACTATGGACTAAGTGCTAAAGATCCAAAGATGAATAATATAAGGCTCCTGCTCTTAACCAGCTCAAAGTTTAGATGAGGAGACCGAAAACTAAACAAGTAAATCAAGCTGGAATGCTATAAAAAATAGAAGCTGTTGAAAATGCTTTGAGAGCACCACCAGTGAAAGAGAATTCTTGAGAGGCATGCTATTTGTGTTCCTTTAGGTAAGTCATTGAAACTCTCTGAACCTCATCTTAAAAAGCAATTCTATCTGGCTGCCTATCTCTCAAGGTTGTTTTGAGATTAAATGAACCCGTGGTTGAGAATCTACTCAGCAAATTGCAAGTCCAATACCAAAGTTAGAGATGGATATTTCCTCCCTTCATTTGAGCAAAGTCCTATTTAGTGCTTTCTTTGTGCACTGGGTACCAATACCTTAGGGCTGAGCATTGATCCCTCTCTGGCTTCTCCCTGTCCCTCCACCAACCTCACACAACCAATCTGGTTTCCTACTGTGTGTTGACACAGTGCGCCCCCAAACACACAATCTGGAAAACAATATGAAGCACTCACCAACTTCAGGTGGCTTCCATCCTTGTCCACAGAAGGCAGCAGAGGGGGGCCAGGCACCCAGGGCGGCTCTGGGGAACTGGACAGCCCTGGCCTTCTTTTCCAGGGCTTCCTTCTTGCCTCTCTTTATCAACACTTCCCTTTTCCCCCTTCCCTGCCTACTTCTTCTCTACCTGTTGTGAGTTTTTCTGTTTTCTCTACCTTACTCCCTCTCCCCAGTTGGGCGGTAATGCTTCTCCTGTTTTGAGAACAGGGTAACTTCTCAAATCTCAGGGAAGACGTTTGTGAGGAACAGTGGAGAGGGGAGGAGCCTCCATGGAGACTGAGGAACCTTTGCAGCTATCTTACAACCCCATACCATGCTGGGACTCTCTCGTACTTTCCCCTCCCCCCTCCTTTCCTCCCTCCCTTCCTTCCGCCCTTTTATCTCTCTCTCTCTCTCTCTCTCCCCCTCCAACACCCCCTTGCCCCCTTCTCCTGTCCTCCGCGTCCTCTCCCTCCCCTCTCTCTTCTCCCCTCTCCTCTCTTTCCCTTTTCTTCTGATTAGGCCATCCTCTCTCTAGTCCTGTCCCCTTTCTCCCCCACGGTCCCTAAGCCCTTTTTGGTCTCGACCCCCATCCCCGCGCGCGCGTCCTCTCTCGGTCTCAGCGGCCCCTTCTCCCCTTTCCTCTCCCACCTGCCTCTCCCCGGCTGGCTCTGGGGCGCGCCGGGACGACCGGCAAAGTTCTCCCCGGACTCCTGGGCCGGGACTGGTAGCAACTCCCGCATCTGCTCAGCAGCCGGTGACCTCACTGAATCTTGCGCACGTGATTGGCTACTTCAGTGCGCTGAGGCGGGAGACCCAGGAAGGATTCCCGTGGCTAGTTTCTTTGTCCCTCCGCCTCTGCAGGTTGGGTTGGGGAGATAGGTCTTTGAGGCTAGGGCACTTCACAAAAGAAATTAGGAGCTAACTTCTAGGAAGAGAGGTGGTGACGTAGGCCCTGGAAAAGGGGTTTTATTGTGGCAAAGGAAAGAGCAGAGTCAGGGGCTGAGGGTGGAGTAGGAAAATTTAGAAGAAAATTTGACTATCCCATAGAAGATCTGGGAACACCTGGTGCAGCTTTCAACCCTAACCATGATCCCCTTCCTCAAGGGTGGGGGGCTCACCTTGAAACAAATAGAGCTTTGGATTTGGAATCAGGCATTTAATTTCCAGTCTTTGTTCTTCTATTTGTATGACCTTGGGCAAGTCACTTCATTCTGTTTCCACTCTGCAAAACAGGAATGATAATATTAATGATATTAATAGGTTTATTGCACAGGTTTATCGAAAGGATTAAATGTGGAAGTATTTTCTAATTATTAAGCCTGCAGTTATTTCAGTGAATAATGTGGCATAGCAGAAAGAATCCTGGATAAGGAATGAGAAATCTTTGGTTATCTTCCGTTTTTCGGTAGTGACCTTCACCAAGTCAAGTTTAACCTGTATGGGCTTTGTTGTCCTCATCTGTGAAGTGGGAGATCTCTATGATGTCTTTGACGCTAACATTCTATGATTGGCTGATAAAACTCAGCATCCTCCTTCAATTCCCCCTTCATAGGAGAAGTCACTTCCTCTTTCAGAACTCCAGTTAACTCCTCCCCTTGGTGAGAAACCTACCTGCTCTTAGGTGTCCTGGTAAAGCTTCTTTTCACAGGGGCCTCGCTTCTCCCACACTCCTGACAACAAAAGTATAGACCCAAACTGTAGCAGTGTCTATGTAGGGCTCATCCTTGATGGAGATTCTCTCCCCAGGCTACTGGCAGGAGCAGGATTTGGAGCTGGGAACTCTGGCTCCGCTCGACGAAGCCATCAGCTCCACAGTCTGGAGCAGCCCTGACATGCTGGCCAGTCAAGGTGAGAATCCAGGCCCCCTCATCTCAATGTCCCTCAGTTCCCTCACTCATCCTCACGTCATCTCCCACTCATGGTGCTTCACCACATGTTCTCACTCCCCTCATTACCACACAACTCTTTCTTTCCCCATTTGGCATTTTAGTTCTTAGTCTGCACCACCAACTTCTCTTGCACCTCCTCCTTCTTCCCTTACTCCAGTACAGAGACCTCTGTACACCCTACACCTCTTTCCCAAAATAAAATGATTCCAGGGGAACATATTACTTGGAATAAAGAGGTTCTGGAAAGGCACAGTCAAGGCAGAATTCTTCAGAAGGAACCAGGGATGAACGGATTACTAGTTAAAAATCGGCACATGGCAATGGTAAACGAAAGGTTTCCCAAACCATTTGTTGAGAGATTTTAGGAATATATCACTTCAAAATGTACTCAGCCAGCTCAGTATCTGGCACACTCATCTCACAATCATAGTTTTAATTCTCACATTAGGTGATTAGTTGAGAAGCATTCCAACGAAAAGAGCACTGCATTGAGAGACAGAAGAACAGCGTTCTAGTCCTAACTAGAATTAGTAGAATGAGCTTATTAGACAATCCTTATGTCTCCATTGCCTCATTGCCTACTTCTTTCTGTCAAATGAAGGAATTGGATTTTGTGATCCCTAAGATCTCACTCAGTTCTAGTTTCTGTGATTCTAAACACTAAAACTAGCCACTACGTTTTGTCATCCAACGTGGGAATCGTCGCCCTGAGCAGTTGGTGCTTGGTGTCTGCTCCAGCACACACACCCTCACTCCTCAGGGCCGCTGCTCTGCTAGGAGTGCCTGTGGGGTATGTCTTGAAAATGGAGTTCCGGTGACCAAGAAGAAAAGAAATGAGCAGACAGGGAAGAGGTAAGGTCAGTGCCAAAGGGAGCATAGAATTGTTTCTAAAGTGCTCAACAGGGAAAGGTAGAAGTAAGATTCTTGGTTTCCTATTCAGAGATGAACAATGCTGGGTAAGTAAGTTAGTGCTGTAGAATGGATTTTGTGGATGTTTCAGAGTCACAGTTAGGGGCTGTCGCCTATTTTAGATTAGTTCTGTGGAGGTCAGTGCTACCGAGTTACAGAAAGTCAGTTCCGAAGATGAGGGAATCAATATTGGAAATCAGAATCCATGCTTTGGGGAATGTGGTACAATATTGGGTCAAGGAAGCAGAGGCAGCAAGTGTCACAGAGTCTGAGGGGCTCATAGGCAGGCCTGGCTAGAAGGCACATTTGGGATTCAAATGGCTCATCTATAAGATACCTTATTAGTCGTTTTTGTTTTTGTTTTGTTTAACTTGACTAAGGAGAGAAGGATTAGAAAACATGTTTTCATCACATTGAAAGGAAACCTTAATCCTTCACTCTTTAAAATGACGTCAGGATGGTGGTTTGGGTTTGCGCGTTGGGAGGTGGGTAGCACTAACACTGAAGGGAATACGTTAAGGGACTTGGTGATTGAAGGGAACTTATTGTTAGAAGAATTGAAAAGTATGTCACAATGTTTCAGTTTTTATTTTTCATATCTTGTTTGTTTGTTTGGCAGTTTTATCAGCTACCTCTTGTGTAAATGAATGTACAGCCCAAGGGCTGGTTTGGCCTTTTCCTCAATTCAGTTTGGGGATTATTAGTCACAACTGCTTCTCCTGTTCTTGTTCTTATATTAATATGTAGGTGGTGAAAGGAAGGCAAAACATAGAATGACAGATGTGTATGTGTGTTCTCAAAGGGGATGATAGAACCATGTCAGAAAAGACACATGTGGACTGGTATGTGCAGATTTGGGGTGCCTTCATTCCCCTAACTATCTGTGGCCTTGTCAGTTCATTTGGCAAACAACTGACTGTTTTTCTGTGTACTCAAAGGAAGAAAAAATAAGATTTATCCCCCAACAACCAAGACCTCTATTCCTTCTGCTATGAAGCCTTAAGAGTGCACAGAGACCTTGTGTACACCAGGGCCTTGGATGCTCTGAATTAGATGAGGTGGACATTGGCCCAGATATGGGTGGAGGGGCTAGAGCTTCCTCAGGAAACTAATCTTGCTCTACTCCTGCAGACAGTCAGCCCTGGACATCTGATGAAACAGTGGTGGCTGGTGGCACCGTGGTGCTCAAGTGCCAAGTGAAAGATCATGAGGACTCATCCCTGCAGTGGTCTAACCCTGCCCAGCAGACTCTCTACTTTGGGGAGAAGAGAGGTAGTGTCCCATGAGTTATCTTTCTCCTTGGGGACCATGGGTGGATGAAGGGGACTGCAGAGGCTGAGAAACAGGGTGGGTGTGCTGTTGGAAGATGTGACAAACCATGGGCTCCCCAGGTGGTTCCAGTATTATAGCTCTGACTTAGGCCATGCATAGTCTTATAGGGTCCTGGAGTGACTTTTCCCCAAAGAAGCCCTAACAGGTAGCTGATGTCAGTGTTGCTCCAGGTGTTTCACAAGGAAGCACACAAGGTCCAGAGTTCTTTCCTCAGTGTCGCTTAGGCTACCCTGGCCAACAGTCCAGAAAAGTGAATGACCCAAAGATGGCTCAACTCAGGAGCAGCACCCCTCCCCCACTGTGTTAGACCCCTTCCCTCAACGAAGCTGTCCTGGGATTGGGAGATAAACATGACAGGTGCCAGTAAAAACCTGGCTTCCCATTTCCCCTATTCCCCCAGCCCTTCGAGATAATCGGATTCAGCTGGTGAGCTCTACTCCCCACGAGCTCAGCATCAGCATCAGCAACGTGGCCCTGGCAGATGAGGGCGAGTACACCTGCTCCATCTTCACGATGCCTGTGCGAACCGCCAAGTCCCTCGTCACTGTGCTCGGTGAGGCTCCCAAACCCCAGTGTCTCCACAGAATGCTTCCTTGCAAACAAATCTCCCTATGTGGGTCCCTAAAGCAGACTGGAGCCAGGCAGGTCTCCACACACTTTGGAAAAGTTCAGCCTGTGTTCCCCTTGCAGTGGGATTAAATGCAAACAGAAATGGGTTCAAGTCATTTTTTTCTCTACTTACTGATTGATCTGAGACAAAGCTCTTACTCTCCTAGAGCCTGAATTTTCTAACTTATAACAGAAGGATGATCCTGCCCATTCTCCCTGCCTCCCAAGATCCTGTGAGGGAAACATGAGATGTGCATGCAGTGTGTAATTACAATGTCCAAGACAAGTACCAAAGTTGCTTACATGCTCTCACCTTCATCCTATATTTCAAATTCCTTCTTTGCTTCCCTGAGCCTCGTACTATTTCGGTGGACACTCATTTGGGTTATTGGTGGAAGGTCATGTATCATGTCTCAGGTAGGGTACATTTCCCCACTGCCATACCTCCTCCCCCAGGTCCTCCCTCTGGTCATCAGGGAGGAGATCAAAGACAGATGATTTCTCTAGTCTTCTACCCATCATAAACCAAAGTAGAACCGAAGTATCCTGACCCCCAGAGAGGCCCTCTCCACAGGGAGAGCTGAAACGTGACCTCATGGTGCCTCTCCTTCCTATCCCGGCCAACCCCTATCCACGGCAGGAATTCCACAGAAGCCCATAATCTCTGGTTACAAATCATCATTACGGGAAAAGGAGACAACCACCCTAAACTGTCAGTCTTCTGGGAGCAAACCTGCAGCCCAGCTCACCTGGAGGAAGGGTGACCAGGAACTTCATGGTGAGTACCTCCTGCCCCAGGGTTACAGGAGGCGGTGGTGTTGGGAGGAGAGCAAAGGAAGTATATGTATTTGTATGTGCAAATAATGTATGGCATAGTGGGAGAACGGGGGAATGACAGACATCTCGTGTACACTCATGTGTGTATATGTGTGTGTTGAGGCCTACATTCTCCTTGTGCGTAGATATCCATTTCACAGCTTCACAACTACAGTGGAGCCCACATGGTATCTACCTCTCTGTGTGTCTGTTTCTGCACTCCAGGAGAACCAACCCGGATACGAGAAGATCCCAATGGTAAAACCTTCACTGTGAGCAGCTCAGTGACATTCCAGGTGACCCGGGAGGACGATGGGGCGGTCATCGTGTGCTCTGTGAACCATGAATCTCTAAAGGGAGCTGACAGATCCACTTCTCAACGCATTGAAGTTTTATGTATGTCATGGGCTTGGGGGTAAAGAGGATCAGGTATGGGTTGGGGAGCAGAGAAAGGAAACGCAGGAGACTGTGTATGAAGTAACGTGTGTAAAGTGAGTAGTTAAAAAGTGAGACAAAGGGCATCAGGACTAGGCCGAAGTTTGGCAAACTCTTCTGTAAAGGGCCCCACCGTGAATATTTCAGGCTTTGAGAGCCATATAGTCTCCGTCTCCACTACTTAACTCTGCCACTGCTGCAGGAAAGCAGTCATAGTCTGTATGTAAACAAATGAGCTGAGCTATGTTCCAATAAAACTTTATTTACAAAAGCATGCAACTGGCAGGATTTGGCCCAAGGGGTAAATTTACCGTCCTCTAAGTAAGGCTAGTGGAATGTAGCCAGACAGTAAATTGTAGTGGCAACTGTAGCAAATCAGGAGTCCCAGGACTTAGTTTCTAGTCTGCACTCCACCACTTACTAGCTGTGTGATATTAAGAAAATTACTTTACCACATTGAACTTGATTCTTCATTTGCTAAGTGAGAGCAATGAATGTGGTGATCACTAAGGCTTCTTCTCAGTTTGACATTCTATGATTTCATGAAAATATGGGTGGTAGGAAAACACAGTCTCTCTAGCATTGTTATTCCCAGATCTTTTCCCTACTTGGTACTCCTCTATTTGCTATTCAATCCGTTGCTAGACCCATTACTCAAACTTTGGTAAGACATAGGTTTGGGGTGGCATTGCTGTCCACTTAGCAGACTCAATCTGTGGGTAGACAAACTGGATCCCAGCTGCAGTGCTACCACTTACTAGCTGAGTTACTTGGGCCAAAGCATTCTGTCTGTGGTTCCTGTTTACTTCACTCATCATGAGGATAGTTATAAAACAATATATATGAAAGAACTTTGTAAACTTCAAAGTTCTATATTGCTATAAGGTGTTTCTCTAATTACTGGTTCTGACTGTGAAGCCTCTGGCCTTGGGCTCTTCCCCCAAGCCTTGGTCCCTGGCCAGAGCTAAAGAAGGCTCTTCCCTGCCCCCAAGACTCCTCTGTTAGGTACCAGACCATCTGGCAGTTACTCTCTGGGCCCTTTTGGCCAAAATGTGTTCAGTAGTCACTCAACAAATGCTGTACTCCAGGTAGTGCTAGAGATTTTTATGGCTGTGAGACCCTGAAACACCCATTCTTTCACCTGGCCTGATTCTCTTTGTCCCATTTGATTTGGCTGAAACACATTCATTAACTGGTTGTTAAGGTTGGCTCTATCCTTAGGGGAAATTCAGCCTCTTTATCTGTTGTTCTCAACCAGCATCTGGTTGCATTGTTCTGAGGCCATCTGGACCTAGCCTCCTAAGCAGCCCTTGGCTTCAATGGCAGATGCCATTCTTCCTTTGCAGAGCCTATCTGTATCATGTCAGTGCCTTTCTGCAGCCAAAGTCTGACCCGTGGCTCTTGCTGTTTCAAAGCCCTCACTGCATGTTTGGACTGGCAGTTCAGAATGATGCTTTGTGTTCAGGCGTTGCTTCCAGTTCTAAGCTCCCTTGCAAAGGAGAGAGAACTGAGAAGTTGTGAGCTCAGTCAGTGGTAAGTTAAGGTTTGTTTATGCCACCAAAAATACATAGTAGGTCCCATCTGTGTGTTGGGTAGTGTGCAAGGCGCAGGTGAACCACATATTCCCCTCATCAGCTCTCTGTTGAGATACCTGGTTAGGGCCCCACCAACGGCAGACCTTCCAGAGTCCTACCACTCGAGGTTTCAATACCACAAGTTGCTTACACGTTCAATAGCAGCAGCAGTCTTTGCTCACAAGAGGTAGGCGAAGGAAGCCCGTTGGGTTCCTGAGACATTTAGAAGTAGAAGCTGCAGTGTGTAACTGGGTGGAGGGATCTCCTAAGCGGTGTGGGGAGTTTTGCATAACCACCCTTTCTTTCTCGACAGACACACCGACTGCGATGATCAGGCCGGACCCTCCACATCCCCGCGAAGGCCAGAAGCTGTTGCTACACTGTGAGGGTCGTGGCAATCCAGTGTAAGAGGGCCCACTTCCTGGCCTCTTCTACGCGGCTGTCCTCTCAGACTTAGCGCCTCCCCAGCTCCTCTGTGCTGCCTGACCCGAGCCTCCCACTTCTCTGACTCTGTCCAACAATGTCTGTGCTCTGACTGTTGCTCCCGCAGAGCGGCAGAAGTGGGGAGGGCTCGTTCCCTAGCTCGGTCCCCGGGGTTCCCACAGCAGCTATGTTACCGGAAGATGCAAGGTAGGAAATCTCCACTTTCCCCACAGGGAACCCCAAGAGGCCACCTTCCACCCGCTCTGAGCTGCAATGTGTCTCTGGCCCCTATAACTTCTGGGCCTCCTCAGACAGTCCTTGATTGCCCTGCTCCAGTTATCTATTTTCTTCCTTTACCTCCCTGGCCTACTCTGCGCTGAACACTTCTGACCTGTCTGCCTCAACAGCCCCCAGCAGTACCTATGGGAGAAGGAGGGCAGCGTGCCGCCCCTGAAGATAACCCAGGAGAGTGCCCTGATCTTCCCCTTCCTCAACAAGAGTGACAGTGGCACCTACGGCTGCACGGCCATCAGCAACATGGGCAGCTACAAGGCCTACTACACTCTCAATGTCAACGGTGAGGCCCCCAGCACCTACCCTCTCTGCCCACCTTACACCCTCTCTGTTCACCACTGGGATGGCATCCCTAGATGCTGGCTGGGAGTGGAGTGAAGGAAGATAGCCCACCAGTGAGTGGAAGGCCTGAGGACCTAGGTCTACTGTCGAATGTGTAATAGTGAAAAATCAATAGAAGGCTGGGCTCTCATCTGCCTTTGTTTAGCAGTGGCAGCCGGAGTGACACCAACCTTTATCCCCTGCGCTCACCCAACAAGAGTAGTAATAATTCTGCATGTCGAGGTCCGAGAGCCCCCCAAGTGCCAGTGCAGATGCATTTCCCTCTCTAAGGAGCTGTTCTCAGAGTTTCCTCTCCTATGGCTAGGTATGGGATAAGTGTGACTGCTGTCACTGCCTTTTCTGCAGACCCTGGACGCACTATACTGAGTCCAGGCAGAAAACAGAGAGAAGCTTGTACTAGGCCAAGGGATAATGAGAATCTTTTCCCAGATGCCATATCTTCTAGAGGGACCAGGTGATGCCCCTTCTCTGAAGTTCTCCCTAAAGCTGTGACCCCCCAAACCCAGCCTCAGGAGAAGTGACAGGCTAGCACAGAGGCCCCTTTATGGAAAGTTGGCAGAGGATGTCTTTGAAGATCCCAATGGTAGTGGGGTCCTGCCAGAAAGTCTTATAAATCTTTTCTCAGAATAGGGGAAATGCATTGTCTGGGGAACCTCAGAGGCTCCTCCATTAAAACAGCCAGGCCTCCCAGGGAAAAGAAGCCTGAATTCTTGGGACCAGAGTGTCTGAATGGGTGATTCCCACCCCAGAGGCAGACCTCAGCATGTGGGAGCTGCCTCGGCACAACAAGGCTATTGTAAGATGCCAGGAGCCAGGACAATGCACTGAGGTCCACTGTCTGCCCCCAGATCTCTCCAGACTGACTCTGACGATGATTGGCAGTGAGGGAAAGTTCTCGTGCCCCGTGGTTGGTATCTTGCTGATCTCCCTCTGCCTTGTGCTGAAAAGCCAAGCAGGGGAAGTCCTGTTTGATGCTATCTGCTGCCAGTGCTGACGCCTGGTGGCGGAAGGAGCTACTACATCTCCTTCCATGAATAGCCTGAGTGGGCCTGCCTGGAAGGAAATTAAATGTGGTTCTACCTGGAGACAGGGACCTGTAATTGATGACCCCAGAGGTCATTTTGGCCATGGAAACCTGTGCTTTTCTAAGGAATTTCCATTTCCATAGCCTCCAGAATAATTATACAGGATTGATTTTCACATACTCCGTGGGAGAGAGACAGTGGGTAAACTCACTGGGCTTCCTCCAAGTTAAACAATCACATCCACCCCAATCATAGCGTAGCATCCCTGGGCCCATCCGCTCCCTCCCTCCCAAGCAGAGCATAAAAAACCAGAGCACAAATGTTTCCTTTTCAAATAAGGCACAGACAGGCAGGGAACTAAAACGCTGGCCCAGCCAAGCCTGAGGAGACATAAGGTAGGAAAGACAAAATATATAAGGAGTCAATGAGGCATCAAGACTCAAGCTGAGTCTATGGAAAAACAGTAGCTCTCCCATGGGTGGGAGAGTTATAGCTATGGCTAATGTAATTTTGGATACATCAAACTGTGTCCTGGGCCTGTGCTCTTGTCCGCAGGTATGTGGGACTCTGACTATGGGTGGTGCCATCCTGGCCACCTCGTCTGTGTTGTGGGAATCTCTCCTCTCTATATTCTGCTATGGAGGAGAGATTCAGTATTATTCCATGGCAGAGTCATCCCCCGTCGTGGGAGAAAGCAACTCAGTCCTTGTCCTTCCCACAAACCTTTGGACGGTGGCAAAGGACAGATGGAGCTCCCAGGTCTCCTTGTCAGCACAGGCTACAGGATTGGGGTTTTCCTGGAAACTAAACTCTCTTGTGGTGAAGGAACAGTGCTCTTTGTACAGGGGTCAAAGTCTGTCTTATTTGGTCAAGGTGCTGTCAAAGTGTTAATTCTTGGCCCCATCAGCTTTTCACTGCTCTTTCCCTGCCTAATCTCAGGACAGTGAGTGGATAGGCTGAGAAGGCCCCTAGAGCTAGAGGGACAAGCTGAGAATGTCAAGCACACAGGAAAGGAAGAGGGTGTTGGGGGATAAGGAAGGAACACTCTGATAACCCAACAGTGAAAGGGGGGTGGGAGGGGAGAGAGAGAGAAAAGAAGAAGAAGAGAAAAAAGGAAGGAAGGAAGGAAGGAAAGAGGGTAGAAAGGAAGGAGAGAGGAGGAAAGGAAGGGAGGGAGGGAGGGAGGGAGGGAGGAAGGAAGGAAGGAAGGAAGGAAGGAAGGAAGGAAGGAAGGAAAGAGGGTAGAAAGGAAGGAGAGAGGAGGAAAGGAAGGGAGGGAGGAAGGAAGGAAGGAAGGAAGGAAGGAAGGAAGGAAGGAAGGAAGGAAGGAAGGAAGGAAGGAAGGGTGATAGGCATTAATGCAATGATCTTTGACCAAGGTCAAGTTTCAATGCCATTAACTCAACTTAGACAGATGGGTGTGAGCAGTTTTATGTATTTATTCATGAGTACATCAATTTGTTTTAATAATAACTATATTCCAGGCATGGTGCAAGAAATTAGAGTACCAAATAAGGCGTATCCCCTTTGCCGAATGGTCAGGCTCCATTCTCCTGCTATTAATGCCCGTTCTCTGCTGTGTACGGCTACCCTCGGCCAAGTCAGAGTGCTGCGAGCTGAGGGCTCTCCCCAGACCTGACGGTGTGTGTGTTTCCCTCCCCACAGACCCCAGCCCGGTGCCCTCCTCCTCCAGCACCTACCATGCCATCATCGGGGGGATCGTGGCTTTCATCGTCTTCCTGCTACTCATCCTGCTCATCTTCCTCGGCCACTACTTGATCCGGCACAAAGGTCAGAGGTGTGAGGGAAACGTCAACAGAACTTGGGAGGGGAAGGAAGATCCGTCAGGGGTAGGCAGGAAGAGAAGGCTGCGAGAAGGGCCTTCAGAGACTCGGCCAGCCCCTTGGCATGCTCGAGAAAGAAGAAAGGCAGCCAGCCCTGTGATACCAACAGCGCCACCAGCCAGAGTAAAGCCTGATCACTTGGGGATGGTCCAAGTAAAATCAAACCTTCCCACTCAGACAGCGGCTGCTCCCCTGCTGCTCTCCCTCCAGGTCCCCTGTAAAAGACAGAGAGCTCCAGAAACTGCACCCCATCCTGTTTCTCCCTGCACTTTCTTCCTTTCTACCTATTCAGACTGATTTTTCCTTCCCCTTTGATCTCCTGCTGCCTGGCCCCATACCATTGCTTTTCTTTCCTCTTTCTTCTTTAAGTTTCTCCCCATGTCTATGCCTTCTCTCTGCCTTCTCCTCACATCGCCTCCTCTCAGACTTGCTGCTCTGTGATGACTTGTGGCCAGTGGCCTGGCTACGCGGGCTGGTCATGCCATACGTAAGCCAGATCTCACTGCATTGCTCATGCAACCGACATAGCAGTTTCCCCATGGCCAATTTGCGTGCACGCATGCGTGCATACACACATGCACACACATACGCACCCCTTTTCTTTTTCATTTTGGCCAGCATTATAGATGAGATTCTACCTAGGGGTAGGATTCATTATTCAGGGGTGGGGGGTGCGGTCAGGTGAGCGATCTTGGCAGCAAAAGGCAAAATAGGTAAGGTGGGGTGGAAGAAAGCTCTAGGCAAGAGAAAAATTGCATGAGCTGAGCGTGAGTGGGTGGGCGGGGAAGTGGGCAGAGGTTTGGAAGCTGCTCCTGAAAGGAGGAGCCTCTGTCTCTACGCAGGAACCTACCTGACACATGAGGCGAAAGGCTCGGATGATGCCCCAGACGCGGACACCGCCATCATCAACGCAGAAGGCGGGCAGTCAGGCGGGGATGACAAGAAGGAATACTTCATCTAGGGGCGCCCGCCCACCTCCAGCGCCCTTCAGGGGCCCCATGGGGACTGCTGGGGCCACCACCAACCCGGACTTGTACAGAGCGACCCCAGGGCCGCCCCTCCCGCTTGCTCCCCAGCCCACCCACCCCCCTGTACAGAATGTCTGCTTTGGGTGCGGTTTTGTACTCGGTTTGGAATGGGGAGGGAGGAGGGCGGGGGGGAGGGGTGGGTTGCCCTCAGCCCTTTCCGTGGCTTCTCTGCGTTTGGGTTATTATTATTATTATTATTTTTGTAACAATCCCAAATCAAATCTGTCTCCAAGCTGGAGAGGTGGGGCCCTGGGATGAGGAAAGCAAAAAAAAACCTGGAGTGTTAGGAAGAGAATGATGGTGGAGGGGTAGGGAAAGGGTAAGGCTGCTTGGAGGTGGGGGCTCTCACCAGCCCTCCCTCCGTCCTCTACAATACAGCAGCTTCCCAGGCTTCTCCAGGAACCCAGGAGCAGGAGAGTTGGGAGCAAGGGCTGGGGGTGGCTTTCCCTCTGCTAGGGAAAGCCAGGAGCTATGGACAGGGAGGTGGGTGCCACCCTGACACCCCTTTTCCATTGCAATGGGAAAAGGGTGAATGGGGGAGTCCCCAAGGAGACGGGACCTGCAGCAGACATGCAGCCACACAGGGACCCAGGGCTTAAACCTGGGGAAGACACAGGTCCCTGAAAGGAAGGGTAGATTTAGAGAGGAAGGATGGCAGAGATGGACCACTGCCCCCATTGCCCCCAAAATGAATGAAGCCAGGCCCTTTCCAGGGGAACCGCCCTTGGGGGGTAGCGGTGCACGGCTGCCCCCCCCCTTGCTCCAGCAGCTGTGGGAGAGGCGCTGCTTTGGGGCCTGAACTGTGTCTGCTGCCCCCTTGGAGGGGCCCCTCACTCTTACCCAAGACCCCGACGGTTGCACGGCAACCACTCCTCCATGGCATTGCTCAGCAACTGCTCCTCCCATCTTGGCTGCCCTGTGCTCCTTCCTGGTCCCTACGCCAGCCCTTATTCCTTCCTCCCTCAGCAGCCAGGCAGACATAACAACAAAAATACTAAAAGGAGCTTCAGTGCACTGAGCTGTTTCCTGCCCAAACTAAGGGAATAATGTGAACTCTGTGCGTGTGCATGCATGTGTGTGCCTGTGGGTGTGTGTGTGCGTGTGTGTGTGCCTGTGTGAGTGGGTGAGTGAGAGGCGGTGGGGGGCGGGGGGGGATTGACGAGGAGGGCCAAAGGCCAGGGGTCCCGGGCAGGTGGCAGGGCTGTGGGACGTGTGGAGGACTCCTGGCCGGCATTTGTACCTCACCCGGGAGGGTGCTCCGTCCTGGGATTGTCTGTGCCTCCCCCAATGCCCATCAGTCTTGGAGAAAGGAGTCCCATGATGTGTGTTTGCCCAGCTGTCCATTCTGTCTCTCCCTGGAACACAGAGATTCAGCCCCTCCCTGGCTTCCCTTCCTCCGAGCCGTGGAGTCAGTGCCACAGCCTTTGCTATGCACCCTTCAGGCCTCTCCGTGGCACTGACCCTGCAATGACCTGCCGTCACTTCTTTTTCCCATAGCCTGTACTCAGTGAGTTGAGGCTGTGTCCCCGCTTTTGCTTTTGCTCTCCTGTCTTCCTTCCATGGCCCCCAGCTGGTTGCCGTGGAGATGAGGTTGCTAGCCCTCTCTGTCCTGGCCGGACTGCCCCACCTCAGACCCAGGGTGCCCCTGGCATCACTCTCACCCTCCGCCAGCATGTCCTCCCTGCTCTGACAACGGGCGTGCATAACGGGGGCAGCTGCAACGCAGCAGGTCTGCCCACCCCTTCAGTTCAGGTAATGCCGTTGTGAATCTTCCAGCCGCTGGTTGGGCCCTGGGCACCACAGGCAGCCCCTCACCTAAGCCAGGGCCCCCTCCTCTTACAGCAGCAAGGGAGCCTGGGGCCCCAGGCCTGTCGGGCTCCTTGTCTCCCAGCACCCGCTTTTGGGAAATGACTTTTCCTCTTCGAGCTGAACCACTCTGTCCATATTACACAGAAGCCATATTTGTACGGGGGGCGGGGGGAAGAGGTGCCGTTGTGCTGTGTGTGTCTGTCCGGGGTGGGGGGGCGGGGGAAGGGAGCAGGGAGGGGATCGTGTATCTTTATAATCTTTCTAACTCTCCTGTGCTAATCTCAGAGGGGCCACCCTCAATATATCTGGATTATCCGTGTCATTCGGCTGCCTCCTTTCTGCTGCTCTCGCTGCTGCTGGGATGCATGTATATAAGGGCTATTTTTTGGTATCCCTCGTACCTGTTCCTGGTACTGCAAGGGGTGGTGTGTCCCTTGCCAGGCCACTCTCCCAAGAGCATCTATGCATGGAAACAGTATAACTTTCCAAGGGAGAGGAGCGTGTTCATCCCCTTTCGCTGGGCCCTTCCTTTCCAGGGCGTTCGGGGTGGGGCGCCTGGCTGCTCTCTGCCAGGCATTGCGGAGGTGCAGGTGAGACGGAGGTGCAGACACGTCAACAGCATCCAAGACAGCTGCACCTGATCTTCACCAAACTCTTTCTGGCCCCGTTCATGTTGGACCTGAAACTTGAGCTACTGTCCTGGGAGGAAAGGGTGAAATCTCTACGAGGTCTGAGGTCTTTGCCCCTACGAACCCCTACATGAGTGGGACTGAAGATCCTTGATGGAGTTGGGGTTAAAACATCTCATGCCTTCTTGAACAAATTAAAGCGTTCCCTAACCAACCCTCTCTATCACATTGCTCTGACTCGGACACTCCACGGTTCACCCCTCCTAAGGTCAGGGCTATGTCTCCCCATCTGAGGAAGTAAAGGGCAGAGCAGGTGAGGAAACAGCAGAGATCCTGGGAAAGCAGCTGAGGGCAGGGGGCAGGAGCCACCAAGGAGGAGAGGCCTCAGCTTAGGAGGGTCCACCTGCAGTGTAGCTGCCTTTGCTCTGCCAGCCAGAGAGAAATAGCTTTGCCCACCCCCCCACCCCCGCCCCGGCCCACATAAGAAACTTTACATATTGCTAAGATGCCTGGTCAATGAAGCAGTTCCAGAGACTTTATGTCCCCCGGCAGAAATATGAGTAGAGATTACCCTGTGGGCAGGAGTCCCATTTTAAAATATGCTGTCCCATTGTCCCCCAGAGCCTACTTTAACTTGTCAGACCATGTGTCCTGCTTCGTATGCAAGATGCATTCACTGCGCCCATAGGTGGCTAGGCAAATGCCCAATTGCTCCCTGAAGTAGCTTCGTTAGGCAGCCTTGACAGCCACCCCAGCCCTCCCTCCTCACACTGCAACACGCAGGCCTGGAGATAGCGATACCCGTGCCCAGACACCGCCTAGCCCTAACACAGATATCACAGATATGTGCACACTGATACACAGCATGCACACACACACACGCAGATAGGTAGGTATGCTTTCCCGCCCAGTCCAACACACACAGAAGCCAAGCCCACATGCGTACCCCTCAGGTGACCGAATCCCATCAAAGCACACGAACAACTCTCCACAGCACTTGGCTTCGGGACTGTCTTCCTTGGCTCAAGTTCAAGGGGATAGAGGACCCGTGAGCGACCTCAGCTGCCCTTTCACTCCCACTTCCCAGCACCTCTCTTATCTCTGCCTCACAAACCACCCCTGACCCCTTCTTCCTTCCTTGTGCTTGAAGAATCTCCCCTTGCTGGAAAGCCCCCTGGTTTCTCAGCCTCCCTTTCACTTCAGGAACATGCCCACTTTGTGGTCCCCACCTTTTTCCTTTCCCGCCTGCAGCCCAGACCCGTCAGTCCACCCAAAAAACAGGAAGCCTGGGGGCCAGTGCCCCATGCAGACCTGAGGCTTGGGCAGGCAGTGGGTGGAGGCGGGTGAAGACTTCCTGAATGCCCCCCTTGGCCCTGCCCGGAAGCTGATGGCCCTCATTAGTCCTGGGCACTTATCTTGGAAACACAGGCACTGACAGAGCCAGAGCCAGAGCGGGAGCGGTCCCAGCCCTTCTCTCTGCCCGCCCTGAGCCCAGCGGTGCCATGGGGAACTGCCTGCACCGGGTGAGTACAGGGGCCGAGCCCCACACCCCCCGCAGCCCCTTCTGTTTGCCCCTCCTGTCTTTAGACCTCTTCCCTTTACTCCTCATCTCGCATCCCTTCCCTCTGTTTGCTCTCATTTTAAAACATCTTTTTTCTTCTCTCCTTCCTATGCCAGCCTCCCAGACCCCCATTGCTTTCCTTCTGGTCTGCCTTTCAGTCGGTTCCATCCAGGTCCTGCTCCGCCTGGACCCGCCTGCCCATTACCCTTCCCTGGCTTTCCCATGACTCTTGGTTCCCGCTCAGGCTCCTCAGTCTCCCTGCTGGGGCCTTGTCCTCTGTCCTCGCTGTATCCAGCTCCCACAGCCCCCTTGTTTCCTGACCCAAGCCTCCCTCTGTCCTCCCGTCCCGCCTTCCACTGGGCTCCCAGGACACACGTCAGTGGGGTGACGGCTGCTCCAATGCCCCCCTCTCCCCACCCCGTATGTCCTCCAGGTGGAACCTGCCCGCTCATCTGAGGAGAACTTTACCCAGCTGACATTTGAGGACGAATTTTGGAATTATTCTGACTATGGGAACGACTCCCTCAAAGCCCTTGACTATGACAGCAACTTGGAAGCAGCTGCCCCCTGCCACTCCTGCAACCTGCTGGACGACTCCTCGCTGCCCTTCTTCGTCCTGGCCAGCGTCCTGGGCATCCTAGCCAGCGGGGCTGTGCTCTTCGCGCTCCTCAGGCCTCTCTTCCACTGGCAGCTCTGCCCTGGCCGGCCCATCCTGGCGCAGTTGGCTGTGGGCAGTGCCCTCTTCAGCATGGTGGTGCCCATCCTGGGGCCAGGGCTAAGCAGCAGCCCCAGCACCGCCCTGTGCAGACTGGGCTACTGCGTCTGGTACGGCTCCGCCTTTGCGCAGGCTCTGCTGATAGCGTGCCGTGCCTGCCTGGGCCCCAGACTGGGCGCAGGCCAGGTCCCAGGCCTCATGCTGGGGCTCCCTGTGGGACTTTGGGGAGTGGCTGCCCTATTGGCATTGCCCATCACCCTGGCCGGCGGCTCTTCCCAAGGACTGTGCACCCTGATATCCAGCAAGGACCTGAAGATCTTGCAATTGATACACACCATTAGCTGTCTTGTCGTCTTCGTCTTGTTGCCACTGGGTCTGTTGGGCGCCAAGGGGCTGATGAAGGCACTGGGCAGGGGGCCAGGCCCCTGGATTGATGTCCTCTGGGCCTGGTTCATTTTCTGGTGGCCTCATGGGGTGCTTCTGGGACTGGACTCCCTAGTGAGGTTCAGGTTATTGCTGCTGCCAACATGTCTGGCCCAGCAAGTTCTGGATCTGCTGCTGAACCTGACAGAAGCCCTGGCCATATTGCACTGTGTGGCTGCACCCCTGCTCCTGGCCCTGTTCTGCTACCTGGCCACCCGCACTTCCTTGCCTTCCCTGCCCCTCCCTGCAAGATGGTCTCATCTGGACACCCTTGGAGACAAATCCAAGCTTTCTTCCCACCTGTCAACCTGAATTAAAGTCTACATTACTTTCACGAAGCGGGTGGTTTCTTATTTTGTCTGGGGATGAAAAGGAGAGGAAGGAGAGTAGAGAGAAAGAGACACTTTATGCCAGATTTTCCTGCCAGTGTCTTTTTCTCTAGGTGTCCTGGAGAGAAAGCGAATGACCTATGAACATCCCCAGGGCACACAGATGTTCTCTTAAGGAGGGGGGGTTGCTGCCATTCCCAGAGGGAAGAGAAGAGGTACCAGAGCGTGAGGGGAGCAGCTAAGCTCAGAAAACTAGAAGCAAGGCTTAGCAGCTGAAGAAGGAAGAGAAACTGTAGTGGAAAGCAGATGGAATAGGAACCAAAACCCACAGAGAAAAAGAGAGAAGGGTGAGGATAAAGCCCAGAGCAATACTTTCCCTCCCCTGTCTGACCCATCCAGCCTCCCTCTCCTTCTGTCTCCTCTCCGTGTTGGTTAGAGATCACGGCAGTGGCGGGGGAATTACTTAGTCCTTCCCCCAAGGTAGACTTTCCCGGTAATATACCAAGATAATTTTCAAAGCCACCTCCTAGGAGTCCTCTCTCCCAGGTTCCTCGGCATGACCCTAATTCTTGTGTGTGTGTGTGTCTGTTATAGACCCACTAGAGCCTACAGCCTATATGCATATTAGATGTGTGCATGTGATAACATATGTCCACCCATGTGCCTGCATGTCCGTCAGTGTCTGAGCCACGCACACCTGTGCGTGTGCACTGACCTCTCTCACGGCCCCACCCCCTACTTAATTCTGCACGCATCTCTGTTTTCAGGATATGGAATCAGGATTTATGACTCACTCCTTAACCAAATGAGTTTTCTGTACCCTGGTTTTTTTGCCTAGTCTTTTCTGTGTAGGATGTGTGGAGGGAAGAAAAGATCAAGAAGTTGTGAAGGGCGGAGAAACTTAAAGGGGGATCTGATTCATCTTCTGCTTGGAATTCCCCAAATTTCCCTTTCAAAACCTCAGCTTTAAAAAGAAACCTTTCTTTCTCACTTACATCTTTCTTTCCACCTTCCACACTAAACCCCAATATCCTGGGCACCTCTTCCACAAATATGCCCCTGATCCTCCAGCTGCTTACTCATGATCTTAGAGGCTTTGTTGCAACCTCTACCCAACCAAATTTAGGTGATGATTAGAAGGAATAAGACCCTTTCCATAAGGGGCACAGCTTTTACCACCAACAACAAATTTACCCTCTCTCCAAGAGGCCATAAAACAATGAGCTCCTCCCTCCAACACAACTAAAGGCTGAGGGAACTTGAGCAGCTACCTCATCTCTGTTTGAATCCAATTACAGTCTTTCCATTTTTCAAATATGTGCTATGCCTGGCTTGTTCCTTAAAATGTTTCTGCTTGACTCTCTGGGCTTGGGAATAAATAGGAGAGTGCAGGAGAGGAGGGGAGATCAGTTAGAATGTCTCAGGCAGGAGGGTGCAAAAGGCTTGGGGAATTTTCCTGGGTGGGTGCCATGACACAGCCTCTAAATCTCCCACCTCCTGTCTCTTAGCAACTACCAGGGTTAGCTCCTGATTGGTGCATCAAAAATTGGAAGGCGGGATTTAGGGACCGATTGAAACGCGGGAGGCATTCTGAAACAGAAAGGATGCAAGGGAAAATGAAGAAAAAGCAAAAAAAAAAATCATTTACAACCCTAAATTATGCTCAGGTCTCCAACCACCGTTCAGAAATGCTTTCTAGCATTTTCTTTCTCTCCTGTTTTCTTTCCAGACTCTTCTCAAATTTCTCCCCTCCAATCCTTGACCACTTGACTCTCTCAATCCTGCCAGATGTTGCCCTCCTCCCTTCCAAGGTACTGATTTGGACGCTGACCTAGTTCAGAGGGATGAGAGGGTGTTTTTTGACTCCCTGAATCTTCCAGTGTCAACCTGGTGCTAGGGAGGCATAATTTAAGCCCACTAGGCTTTTCTTAACACCACCTCCCCACCCAACCTGGAGCATCCAAATAGAAATCCCTCCCGCTTCAGTCCAGAGAGAACTCCAGACTCCAGGGCAAAACCCAGCAGCTCTCACACCTGGCACAAAGGAAAGGCACAGGCAGAAGCCAGCAGCAGCTGATGAGAGGTCAGAAAGGGCTGGAGACGGTGACCCCAGGGCTGCTCCTCCTCAGGCCCACGCCCTCTGGCTTTGCCCCACTCACTTGCGGGCTGCCCTCTCCCTCCCACTGTCTGTGTGGCACTTGGAGAGTTCCTCCTTAAGTCTAACCCCAACCTCAGTCCTTTCTTTACAGCTCTCCTGGGGACCTGCTACCCCATCCATTTAACCCCTTCCATGCCACCAACCACTTTAAAATTGGTCTGAATCTGGCATCTTTTTCTGCAACCTTTCAGGCATAGAAATCTTGTTTCCTTAGAACCCTTAAGAATTTAATCTTAGGGTTGGCAGAGACTTTAGCTGTGTATGAGTTATTGGACCTCCTGGCTAAAGGAAAAAAATCCTCTCAGAACGAGGAAAGCCAGGGAGGCAAGCTCTTGGGAGCACACAAAGCCTCAGGGAGGGTCAATTTGCATTGCTTTTTTTGTTTGTTTGTTTAAGGAGGGAGACCTATTGTTTGAGGTAAGTTTGAACATCTCATTGATGCCCTCATTCTTTTATTTCGGGCTGGGGCCTCTCTGGAGGATTTAGGAAACAAATGCCTGGTCCTCACACCCTTTTGCCCACCCCTATTTTGCTATACTCCAACTCCATCATCACCTTCCTTCTGGAGCCACCCTCAGAGGAATTCTGATTGAGAACTTCACTGGGATTTCAAACCCAATTCTTCGCCAAGTCTAATTGCCAGGGATTTGCATGAAAACCATCGTATGCTATCTAATTATTCTGACAACAGCAGCCCGCCGTCTGGGCACAAGGAGAATCACATTTTTAATTAACAATAATGCACCTTGCAGACGAATGTGACTGTTTAGGTTAATTAACAAGTTCAAGTCCTTCCAAATCATCTCTCAACATCTTCTAGGTGGTTTGGGCAGGAGGGGTATGGTGCACACCAGGGGGTGGGGGTGTTTAGAAATCAGTTCAGCATAAATATATGTTAGCTTTCATCTTTTCTATAACTTTTTGTGGAAGGGAAGAACAAATCTCTACAAGACAGCTCCTGAGAAATTGGTTTAGGGAGATTTGGGTACATCACTTTAGGGGGATTTATCAGGCATCTTATGCCACATTTAGGTTTAGGAAATCTTTGTTTGGCTTGGCACAGTGGCCCACGTCTGTAATCTTAGTACTCTGGGAGGCAGAGGCAGGATGATCCCTTAAAGTCAGGAATTGGAGACCAGCCTGAGCAAGAGTGAGACCCCATCTCTACTAAAAACAGAAAAATTGGCTGGACATGGTGGTGGCATGCACCTGTAGTCCCAGGTACTAGGGAGGCTGAAGCAGGAGGATCGCTTGAGGCCAGGAGTTTGAGGTTGCTGTGAGCTAGGCTGACGCCACAGCACTTGGCACTCTAGCCCGGGCAACAGAGTCAGACTCTGTCTCAAAAAAAAAAAAAAAAAAAAGAAAGAAAGAAAAAAAAGAAAACAAAACAAAAGAAAATCTTTCAGACACATTTTTATAAATAAGAGGAAATAAGTCCTTGTATTTCTCAAGTATCTCTAAGTCATTGCCCAGTGAAATGCAAACTTGGTTTCTAGCATGAGACCCTCAATTTCCTCATGGCTGCCATTTCTCCCCTCCTTTCTTTGCACGTTCCTAGCATGTTTACGAGCACTTAAAGTTGCTGAGTTCTGAAGATTTCCCAGGTATTTTTTCCTAGGTAAAAATACCTAGTTCTCTGTGTCCTGGAAGAACACTTTGTATGTAGCTCCAACTGCATCTTTCAGTTTTTCTAGTCTTTCTAGGAGTGTGGACCTTATCTTCTCCCTCTAAATCAGGTATTACTATCCTTGGTGGGGGAGGGGGGAGAAGAATGTTATAGTCCTCTTAGAAAATCCGATGGAAGTAATAGTCTCTCTTTAGGAAAATCTAATCTTACACCCCCAATTTGGCATTTGGTTGCCCCTGCTGCACTTAGAGTTAATCCCAAGTACTTTTGCACTCTCTGACAGAACTTCCATGATCAGCCTGTGGCTTTGTCACCCCCCTCCCCCGATCACTAAGCTTTATGCCCAGTGCCAACTTTTGTTCTTTCAAGGGGCAAATCTCTTTTCCACTCTAAGAGTCCTTGCACTTGACATTTCCTCTGCCCAAAACACCACTTTCTATGCTCTTCAGGAGAACAGCACCTTCATCCTGGGGTTCTCCACGTAAAATGTCACCTCCTTAAAGACTGACCTTCCCTGACATCCAATGGGATGTAGCCCTGGCTTCCCCGTGCACCCAATTATTCCTTACCAATTCACCTGGGTTGTTTCCTTTGTAACATTTATCACGTGCTAAAATTGTCTAGTTTATTTGCTTACCAGTTTATTGCCTGCCAACCTGCCTTCCAACTTCTCCTTCCACTGCTAGAAAATAAGCTCCAACTGTGCAAAAGTCTTTTCTCTCTTATGACTGGCACATGGTCAGAGCTCAGGACACCTTTGTAACATACGTAAATTAATGAATTAGATTTGCATGATTGAAGCTTGGTTCCCCACACCGGAGGGTTCATGGTCCAAGGGGGAAGAGGACCGAGTAAGTAAATCACTGGTGGGAAAACTGACAGGAAACTGACCTCCTCTCCCTAAGTCCTCCAGAGGATCGGTATCTCTCCCACCGCATTCGACCCTTTGGGGGCTGAAGAGGCTGGAGAACTGTCAGGACAAGATTTCTGGCCTGTGAACCTGTTCTCTGTGTCAATTTACGGCTGATTGGAGCTGGGGACTTCACCACATTTCCTGAGCCGTACGCTGGAGGAACAGTGTTTTCTTTCCTTTGGGGTGTTGCCGGGCTTTGGACAGCAGGGCAGAGCTGGGAAGGCTTGTCATTTTTCATCTTTACTTGAGGAAACATGAGTCACGGAGACTCCCCCAGAGATCTAGGAGACAAAGTCCCTCACTGGCTCAGA